AAAACTATATAAACTATTAAAGATAATCAAAGGAACATAAATCTGCACGCTAAAAATATGTCAATACAACATTAACCCATTTGCCCCAGATTTATGTTCTGTCCCCTGTAGTTTTTGGTGAATTTTGTTACATACAGATGGATCAACATGTGCTCAGCCGGCAAGGAGTCTATCAGTAGGCCCTAGTTACCGATCCTGATTTTCCCATTCATTGAATTGGCGGGAAAATTAATACCGTTGCTATTGATACTGTTATTATTGTTATTGATGTTATGATTATTAAAGTGTCCTTAAAATATTTCAGACAATGAAATGATACAAAAAACCCTTTCCTAAAGTGAAGGAAAAGGGTAAACAGGTGGAGTAGGTAGTTCTTGATAACTGGCTATTTAGTGGTTAGGAACTTGCAGAGCCATCTATGCGTAAATACAATAAATAAACTTGTATCAAAGTGGGCATGGCTTCTATTCTTGCCACGTGAGACGAATGGGTTAATTCTATCTCATGTTTTTATCTTCATCTGCCATTTGTGCAATTTGTCTAAGCATCTCTACTGACCTCTTCCTGCCCTCATCTCTTTCCCTCTCCTTTACACATGAAAACACACATGTACATATATGCACACACTCTAAAAAAATAATTATAGTAAAATAAAGTTATATAACAAATAATGGGAAACACAGAAGAACTAATTCAAAATCCTCCAGTCTGAAGAGGCAAGGGAGAATAAGGAGTGCAAGTGAGAGAGGGAAGAGGTAACACTGATGGTTGGTGAGGTCAGGGTAGACTGAACACAGAAGAGCACTTTGCTGTTCACTATAGATTAGTCACAGAAGTAATGCAAACGCTATCTCAACAGCATATCTTGAATATATCTTTGTAATATCAGATTTTAGATATCTAAGTAACATATATGAAAGTCTTACTTTACTTTAAACCCATATCATTATGACCATTTATTCCTTTCCTAATTTCTTCTTCCCTAATAACTTGCTTTCTGATACAGAATTGCATCTAACAACAAAATAATTAGAAATCCAAAAGTCTGTCATACAAAATTCTTTATAAGAAAGTTATGGTACAGTTTTCTGAATGAAAGAGGGTTCACTTTACAGTTATTATAAGAAAATATTGTTTATATAATAAATAAAGGACAGCTCAAAATGAAACTGACTGGTATACATAACAAATAAGTAATTCTTATCAAAAGCTGTGTGTTACTGATACATATGAATTTGTTATTGATGGATTGCAGTCTGTGTATACTGTCTTGATATATATATATATATATATATATATATATATATATATATATATATATATATATATATATATATATATATATATATATATCTGTATATCTGTATATCTGTATATCTGTATATCTGTATATCTGTATATCTATATCTATATATCTATATATCTATATATCTATATATCTATATATCTAATATATATATATATATATATATATATATATATATATATATATATATATATATATATATATAGTAGTTTTAGTTTTTAAAAAAGCAATGCTAGTGATGACTTTGGCAATAATTAGAGTAGCCTGGCATTAGGTAATTGGCATGTCCTCCATGTATGTAAGGGAGTGTCATGATAATTCCTAGTGTTACCCATAAAGAATGTATTAAGTAAAATGTAAAAGATATAATAATTATTAAGTTCATGTTTTCCTTTCTAGGGATCTGCTGTTAATCAAGCATATGAGATTAACAACATCCCTTACACGCCAAAATGTTCAGCATATGGGACACTTTTCAGCTCAGACATTACAACAATATAGTAAACCAAACTCCATATATCTTACTAGTATCTACCTTTCTGCCTACTACCTCTATCATTTGCATTTTCAATTATGAAGACTTAATTCTAAACTAAAGCACATGGGTGAGAATCTGTCCATGTAACATATTTTCAATAAATCTAGTTTATACATTGTGGGTTTTTCTACCATATTTTATTTAATTATAAAGCATCTGACTTACACACACAATAAGGAATGCATTAAACCAGTATCCATGCACTGAAACAGCAATAACTTAGACAGTGCGACTCATGAATAACTTAATTAATTGCACAACAAGAGGATAAGAGTCCGACTTCCTTTCGGGGTAAGATAAGTTGGTAATCCATCAAAAATGGTTTCGCTAACTATATCTTACTCACCAAAAACATTCATACAGTTCCACTCACTATATCTACCGCCGTATATGAACATAAAACATATACGACGAACTATGTAGCATATGAACTTAAAAAAAAATATGTAATGATACAAAACCCACACACACAGCTTACACACATTTACATTTTTAAAAGAACTCACAATATAAGTGCTCCCATTGTCTTCTCTACACTCTTGGGTATCCGGAATTGAAAAATGCATACTCGTTTCCCTCCCCGCCTCCTCGCATCTGCAAAAGGCGAAGAAAATAGAGATAGACGAGACAGACGGGCAATCAACTCCTTCAGCCAGGGGTTTGTTGACATCTGAGCGGTGACATCTAGCGGCGGAAAGGACAACTAACGGTCCTCGAGACTGCGGGGACATCTAGCGGCAACAACATGAACTAGCAGCCGGTCTTTAACGTTCATTAAAGAATTTTTTTTTCTATTTTTTTTGTATAACGATTATTTCGTTTGGATCGGAAAACACGTTTAATGATTTAGTTTTTTTTAGATTATATTACTTAGTTTGAATATTGATTATTCTAAGAGGAGTTGATGCCAAAAAAATGCCGATACAGGGAATAAAAAATGTCACTAACAATGGTAGACAGATTAATAGCATTTGATATAAAATTCGACATAACTTCTCACTGAGATCAAGGAAATTATTCTTACCAACGATTTTTTTAAAAACTGCAATCTGATAAATGGACTGACGATCCATAAACAAGAACAACAAGAAGAACAAGTGCCAGCGTGGACGTCCTCTATTAACCTAATTCATTGATATTCAAATGAGATCTTTTTATTCATAGACTATTTTACTTTTTTTTATTACATTCTAGCTTTATAGCTGTAGCGGTTAAAGGGGTTCATATTATTTTTAAGTCATCAGCTCTCTTATCCTATCTCGGCAACAAGATTGTGGATACATTTATGGTTTTACTATTTTTTTTATTTTTTACAACAATCTCTCCCTTATCAGGATAAAAAAAAATAAAGATAAATGTGGAGGATCGAGATTGGATCGAGGAATGGCCAGCAAGTACGACAATATATAAGCGACAGAAACCAACCCGTAATAAGGAATCAAACTCTATAAAATACACGCCTCGATCCTCTATAGACACGCAAGTCCCCTATTCACTCCCATCTCCCTCACCCTCCTCGACGATCACCGGCCCTCGGATTCTGCCGCTTATACCCCGTCGCCGATACCTCTGTGGCTCATCCGGCGAGACAAGGCGACGGCCGACCCTGTACCTGCAAAACCGCATTCTACCTCCTATTTACCTCTTAATTCTTCTCCAAAAGCTGCACAAGATACTGAACGATGGCGCCAGCGACCGAGACGGCCCCGGCAGCGACCCCTGAAGCCGCGGCGACCTCTAATGTGGGCATCAACGCCGTCTTGCTCGGACCGCCTGGATCCGGGAAAGGAACTCAGGTATGGGTCTCATGAAGCTCGATTTTGACGGATACGTTGAGGAAGGAGAAGGATTTTGATTCCCGGGATGTGTAAAGAAGACAGCAGTGGGTGTTGATGCAGAGTGAGAAGATTTATGGGGAGACATTCGGTAGAGGGAGATTTATGGCCTTCTGAAGGACCCCCTCGTATGGGGAGATTCTGTGGAAGGCATTGATTTTGCTCTTGAGTCCTGGGGAAACGGCTCATGGGGTTGGCCTGGGTTTGAAGGGGTTGCGGGGATATGTATAAGGAGAGGGTTATGTGTGGGGAGGTATTGTGGAGAGGGAGGAAAGGGGACACTAATTCCAACTCGGTTCTGTGAGAGGGCTGTTGAAGAGGTCATAGCAGGGGGGGGGGGGTGTTAAGAGGAACCATAGCATCAAACAAAAATCTGAGCCGATATAAAAAATGCCTTCTGACCTCCTGTCAAAAGAGGAATTATCAGCCTGATGCTGTGAAGGCACATTTATGGGGAGGTGGTCATGGGGCAGCAATTGTCATGAAAGGAATTTGTTGGTTGACCAAATTAAGGGTTAAGTCTTGGGGAGACACTCAGACATTCGGTGAGGTTTTGAGAGACCACTTCCAAGGGTAAAAGGTTGTTCCCCATTTGGTATTGTTTCCTTCCCACAGCCTTGCTGTTCAAGGTAAAATGTAATGGACCAAAAATAAGACTTTTAATTTGTGGTATTACCTTCGCAAGTTGGTAATACAAAGAGAAAAAGGTAAATCTCAAGTTTCAACCAGCTTCCAACTTTCAAAACAATTCTTGGTTACTGTTACCGAGAGCAACACACGGAGGTAGAGCAAAATGGACACTGCCATCTTGTAGAGCTTTAGAACATAGAGTAGGAATCAGTACAGGTAAATCTGCAGCTGCCTTGTATTTACCGGGAAATAAAAAAAATAGGCTCTGCGTGGCACTGCTCTGAGACAAAGTCCCATCCATGTTTACCTTGCGAAGACCAAAGCAAATGTGACACGTAACTCATTACTGCAATCTGTCATGTAGTTCATGTATTACTACACACTTGTGAGAATGATTATTTTGTAATTACCAGTGTCTGTTTTTCCAAATTCATGTATTTAGTGAATTCTTTTTCTTTTGTTGTACTTTTTTTTACATGTTTTATATGTTTTGGTAATTATTTACACTATTTTTTACAATAACCTTGTGTGCATGTGTTTTGCCACCCAGAGATTTGACAGACGGTACAACACCATTCTTTGAGAAATGCCGGTGAGAAATGTTTCATTTTAAGTGTGTTGTGTTTTATTTTAGGCTTGTTGCCTTAATTCCGGATATAGTGGATATGTAAAACAAATAGTCATTAATATCTATCTCGTCCTGATATTTAAGCCCAACAAGTACCTCAAATGCCGAAAAAAGTGATTAGAAATCAAGGAATTTGGCCCATAGATGGAAGCAATGAAAAGTTCGGTGTTTCACTATATAAAGGTACGTGGTTTTACCCTGGGGGTCAGGGGGCAGAGCCCCCTGGCTAGAGAATATATAGATTGTATTTTTTTAAAGCTATGGGGATCCAGGGAGTGTAGTCCCTTGACCAGGTGCATATAATATCACGGGGTCCAAGGGTCCAGTGTTTTGCTATGTAAAGGTATGTGGTTTTAAACTCGGAGTTCAGGGGGCAGCGCGCTCTGGCCAGTGAATATATAAATTTTATTTTCTTAACCCCTTCCCGACGGGTGACGCTGATAGGCGTGAAAACAAACCGCATGAAAGCTGGCGTGCGGCTGTACACTGCAGCGGCATGCCAAAGTGCGGCAAGCCAGTGATTCGGGCTGATGTACCGAACTCACGCATTCAAAGTCGGCGCGCTGCCATTGTTTGTAGAGTTTTTTTGTTTTTTTCGTTTTCTTCACCCGTCACCATTGGGTTAACCCCTTCCTGACGGATCATGCCATGAGGCGTCATAACAAACTGCTCGATCTGTGGTGTGCGGCTGTACGCTGTGGCAGTGTGCCAGAGCGCTACGACCTGGTGATTCGGCTTGATGTACCAATATCCTGTACTCAGTCAGCGTGTTACCATTGATCTCTAGTACGTAGTTTCTTTGTCTTCTTCTTCTTCTTCACCTGTCATAAAGGTGTTTAAGCCATGGGGTCCAGGGAGTGTAGCCCCCTGGCTAAGTGTATATATCACTAGGGTTTCCAGGGGGCATAGCCCTCTGGTTAGCTGCATATATTATGAAGGGGCTACAGAATATTTAGATTGTAGTGTATAAATCCCACAGGGTTAAGATTCTTTTATTGATTAGGATGCATTGTGTGATTACCACGGGGAATCTGGATTATGTGAAATCCCTTAGAATTATTATGAACGATGGGTTTGATTCCTGCGTGCCGGAGGGGATATCCGTAGTTACCGATTTCCATAATTTTTTGTGCTTTTCATGAGAGAAATTTGGCTTGGGTTTTTGAAAAATCGACTTTTTAATGTTTCATAAATCACTTTCTTCAATTTCTGCTGGTTCCTATTGACATCCAGTGCCATCCATTATCCCCCCCCCCCATCAACCCCTGGTTCCCCATGCATTATTCAATATCATTGGGCAGAGGAGATGTATAAAAATCAGAATTAGAGTCCGGAGGGAGCATTGCTCTCGGTAACAATCACCCAGTTCTTCCTTTGTAGTTTAACGCTGTTATGTTGCTGTTTTCAGTCGCATTTGACTCGAGTGACGGAACTTGTATTCCCTGATGGCAAAGGTGATAAATTGTGTAAGACTTGGCTTTGCACTGTATTTTGGGGAGGAATTAGCATGATTTTCACACAGGAAAACAACTACTATAAAAAACAAAACACTAAAATAACTTTAAATCGGGTTCACTGAAACTCTATGAGGGTGGGCGCCATGTTTCACTTATACAAGTACAGTATACAATTCTGCAGTTAAATCCAGGATTACATTTTGCCTTATTGATGCTTAATTCAAATGCATTAAATCATGATTGGACTAAAGCAACATTTTAATATGAAAATGCGTTTCGAAAGATTCCTGATGACCACGTCAAATTTATGCCTAAAGCATCATTAATTGTTCAACAATTGACAGTTACATGTTGCGCCATTGTTGCGACACATCCAGTCAAACAACGAATTTTGAACACATTTTAGTAACAGATCTTGTAAACTTTAGTGATGATTATCGTCAAATATGGTAACAGTTCAATACTTATGTATGTCTTAAAATGTAAGATAGAATTTATTAACCTTTGCCTGAGTGCAAAATACTTCGGAGGCCGTGGCAGACTTCATGCCATGCAGCTTAAAATTATTGTCCATCCCCTGAAACTATGAGTGCTTTAGCCTAATTTCGATTGGCAAAACCAATCATTCAACTGCAATCATTTGCCAAATCGGTAATAATTAATATTGATACTCTGTGTATTACTGTCCTATTAGAAGTAAGGATTTTTTATTGTATGAATTTCATTATTACTGGAAATTTAGTGTGTGCAATAAATATGTTGCACAAACTATTCTACCACAATGTGATAGGACATCATTCTGGCCCATCCTGTTGTGAATAGGTTAAGATATTTGTTATTCTCATTACTTGTATGATGTGAGAAAGCCAGATTTAAAATATAATAATGTATACAAATAGCTCTAGTCTGTGTATGTACATGAATATTACATTTTATCTGTATATTCTTATATTGTTATCTTTGTATTTGTCACAGTACCTATTTGATGTCTCCACCTAATTAGATGTTTCCATTATTCTCTCAGGGTCCCCGTTTGAAAGAGAGATATTGCGTTTGCCACCTTGCAACTGGTGACTTGCTTCGCGCAGAGGTATCCTCCGGATCAG